GTGGTACAAACCTGGCTAACTCAGTGAATTTGGCCTCATATTCAGCTACTGTCATGCTGTCTTGTTTAAGTTCCATGAACTCCGACACTTTCCTATCACGGACACATTGAGGGAAGTACTTATCGTAGAAAACTTCCAGGAATTTCGCCCAGCCAATGTCTTTATGATTCTCACGCATTAACATCCACTATCTTCTTGCTTCATCTTCTAGTATAAAGCTGGCCAGAAGTACTTTCTATGTCTTTGAACAAGGAAACACCTCAAACAGCTTTTCAATGTCAAGAACCCATGCTTCGGCCTTTAACGAATCCAATCTCCCATGAAACTGTGGCGGTTTCATTTTCTTAAACTCTTTGGTGAGAGCAATTACTCAGTCATCATTTTGCTTATCTGGCACAGGTGGTACTAGAGGAGGAGGCGGCGAGTGTAGTTGTTGCCACTACTGTTGTTGCCTCAATGTTTCTGCCATTTCTTGAATCAATCTTTCCATTCTATCCATTCTGGTAGTAGAAAACTCCTCTATTTCATCACCTCTTGTTCTCACCATCTGATTGGACTTGCATTATTCTTTATACAAAAGATTCACAAGGATACGCATACTAAAGATCACACATATTCAAATAATTTCCAATGCAAGCAAATCACAAACTTATAGCACATAATTGTTCACCTTGAAACATTTAAGCGTATTCTTGATGCTTTCAGATTCATACTTATCACATGAATGCATCAAAGATCTTATCTAGATGCTTATTGCTCTTTTCGACAAGTGTGTGAGTTATTAACTCGTGCTCTGATACCACTCTGTCATGACCCGAACCCGCCCCTATGGGTTAAGGTCATAACCGGCCAGTAATCAAGAGATTACCTGCGGCCTCAAACCAACTAAATAAATTTACTTTGTCAGAGTTAAGGGGCCAAACGGAAGCAACTTAAAAAATTTGTCCATAGAGCTGTGCATACATGGTACATCATAACACTTCACATATGTTCATTAATAACTCACATCAAAAAGAAAAATAATTCACAGTTCCATGCGTACAGGATCATTCAAGTCTAAGTCAGTCAAACCCAAGTTTATATACAAAAGTGATCTAGTGTTTTCGCCATCATAACAAATTATAACAAAAGGACAAAAGAGGCGAAGACAAGTCTCATGCGTGAGACGTTTGGGCTGACTCTCGAAAACTTGACCTTTCTCACAGACTTCACCGGGGCTGGGTTTGGACTTCTCTTTGCTCACCTACATACACATGAATGAGTGTGAGCGAAAGCCCAGTGAATAATATCAAATACAGAAGGTACGCAAATGAGAATCACATATATCGAACGGCCTTGGGCCCATACAGAAAACTATTTAGTGCATTATTTTGGTACATTAGGCGATTCAAGCCCGAACATGTCGAACAGCCTTCGGCCCACTTCATTCCTTAACAAACGACCTCGGGCCCAATTCATTCATGTATATCAAACGGCCTTTGGCCCAACCATTCGTATCCAACGGCCTTTGGCCCAATCGTTCATGTATGTCAAACGACCTTTGGCCCAATCAGTTGTATCCAACGGCCTTTGGCCCACTCATTCATTCGTTCATGTCAAATGGCCTTCGGCCCATTTATTCATTCATGTCAAACGGCCTTCGGCCCAGTCAATTGTATCCAACGACCTTTGGCCCAGTCAATTGTATCCAACGGCCTTTGGCCCACTCATTCATTCGTTTATGTCAAACGGCCTTCGGCCCAGTCAATTGTATCCAACGGCTTTTTCCCCAACCATATGGCATAACAGATATTTGTCCCCAATTCAATTTAAAAAACGTATAAGACTTACATGGAAGTAGGCAATTGGACAAATAACATACTTCAAATATCTTTATTAAGATATTACTCACAGTGATCTACCGGTGGATTTGCTCTCGTGCTTGACCCTACACATTTCATGAACATAATGGGTCACAAACGATTCAATCCATTCTTAATTCATACATCCATCTTAGGCTTCTTTCTTATCCTTTTAACTCATTTACAAAGCTAAATGTATGTCTAAGAGTGCATAGAAATGGAAGAGAACAAAAATTGAAACATAAAATTAACTCACCAAATTTCTAAAGCAGGGCTCCCCGCTCGAGTGTGGCTTTGGCCGCTCGAGCGGACCCCTATTGTCTGCAAAAAAAATGCTAGTTGCCTTATTTTTACGTACGAGCATGAATTCGGGCGCTCGAGCTAAAAGTCACACTACATGGCTCCCCGCTCGAGCGTGAATCTCCCCGCTCGAGCGGACATCCATGTCTGCAAAAGTTGTGTAAACTAGCATTTTATGCTTGAGCGGCGCTTTCCCCGCTCGAGCGCTCGAGCGGACATGCCAATTTCTGGGTTTTCCAGAATTGTTCTTCAAGTACAACCTTGATATTCAAAGGTCCAACATTCATGTTCTTGGTCCAAAAATGTGGAAACACAATATATAGTATAAGGATGTAAGCAATATGAGGCCAATTATTCAAAATCCATAATCATACTCTCAAATTAATCAACATTTCTCTTATATGGTTCAAACCCATGCATTCAAACTTCATATAATCTTCATATTCCCATTAATCAAACATGCATGTCAATTTTGACTCCAATTCTAGTACAAATAACACTTGCAATCATGAAACTCGTGGAGATTATACATGCATGTGAGATTTGGTGCCTAAATCTTTTTGTTTAACATGAACCATGCTCAAATATGTAGTTCCATAGCAATTCTATGCATGCATGTACATATAAGCTTTCAATTCAACAAATTCATTTCAATTTATGTACTTGACCACCATCAAACCTTGAATTCACAATATTACAAACTTAACTCATAAATCTTTGCTCAACTACTCATCTATGAGCTTCTATTCTTTCAAATTATAGCAAATTCTTGAGCCTAGCCTTTCAAAGCTTGAGCTCCTTAGCAAGATCTTCAGGATTGGCCCTTCTCTCTCTCTAAATCAGGTTCTCTCTCTCTCTCTCTAAGGTGTGATTTCAGTCAAATGAGTTTAAAAGAGAGGAATTGAGTGAGAATGAGCCTTTTTATAGGCTCTCTTTAATCACATTTCACTAATACTAATTAATCGAACACTAACTCATCAATTTAATCTATTTTATTTGATCCGAATCAATTTTCAATTAAATTTCACCGTAGGCTCTAAAAATTACACTAATCACAATGGCGTAGTCAATTTCGGTTTCTGTGGCCGACAAGACCTTCAATTTTCAATTTATAACAGTAAGTTGAACAGATATTCCTACGGTGAACAGATAGAAATTCAAAACCACATACATTCATATAAATGGTACACAAAATCATATCAAACATATAATAACAATCATAATTAAGATTAATTAGCATAATATGGGACATGATTATCACAGTAACGTTTTAAATAATTGTTTCACTAACTGATATAAAAAAACAGAGTATGAGATTAAATGTTTTTATTTTTCTACTTATTGGTTTGATTTAACTATCCAATAAAACGGATAATATTAACAGTTTTTTCAGTTTTAAAACTGAGAACATCATTAGTGTTTTTTTTTTTTTTTTTGCACATCAATGTTCCATTATCATGCTCTTTTATAGACATAAAATTTTCAATTATGCACAAAAAAATAATTCAATTTTTTTTTTAGTTTTTTTAATTTTAAAGTTTTGAAAATCAAAATAATTGTCAAATCATCATATTTCTTTATAGATAATCGCAAATGATGAACACTCATTATTTGAAGGGTAATTCCAACTATTAAAAATTTAATAGGATTTAAAAGTTCAAAATATCTTAATTAAGACTTAATGAAATATAAATTTATAAATTAGGACTTGTGCATAAATGTCCCTTTATATTATAAAGTTTGTGAAATATATTATTCATAAAAAATTAATTTAAGTATAAATATGTAATCTCATGATTAAGTCTTTATTATTATTATTTTTTAAAAAGTATTAAAATCATACTAATCATTTTATGAATATTACAATATAAAACCACCAAGGACACTCAGGGTACAGTGTCATATGGCACAGCAGTATCGGGAGCTTCTATATACACACACCTAATCCCCTCAATACACACACTTAATGATATTTAATTTTATTACAATTTTATCCCTAAGTGAAATTACCATTTTAGACACCATTGTTAATTGAAAACATCTCAATGCACACCTTCACATTGTTGCATCGTGTGTGTAAGACCACTGGTTTGGCATGCTTCTTTGAAAATGGCTTTGGCATTTCTGTAGGGTTTTCATTTTTTACAAAGGGCTGTGGCATTTCTGTAGGTTCAGATTTTTAGAAGTGGATAAATGTTTATGAGAAAGATATCCAAGGAAAGGTGAGTTTTGCTATGTGAAAGTCGTTTTTTTTTTTTTTTTTTTCAACGTCTTTCAAATAACTAAGGTCGAAATATATCAAATTATTCAGTAGTTTACTACCAAAATAATTATGTAATTTCGGAAGTTGTCGTCCGAAATAATTTAAATTTTTCGACATTCAACTTTCGAATTGGTAAAAATAATTCGGACAACTACATTCAAACATTATCATTTTGTTCAACACTGTACTTCCGAATGAAGTAATTTTTTTTTCTATTTTATATTCCAAATTCGTAAATTGCATAATAAATTTGTGGTTTCGAATTGCAAATTTGTCATTATAATACCATTTCAAATTTGTAATGTTATACAAAACATCCAGGAATATGTCTCAACTGAAGGAAGTCAGGTTTGCGCGGATAGTGTGTTGGATTACATTACTCAATTCACAACTGAACAGGTTCACTCTACGAAATTATAATGATTGTGTTTTGAATTGCTCAACAAATGCAAATGTTTTATAATATTTATTTGACTTTGTAAGTATTTAAAAGTAAGGATGAATTGCTTAATTGGGTACGTGAAGTTGGAAAGAGAAATGGTTTGGTCATTGTAATCAAAACATCAGACTATGGTGGAGGGAAAAAAAGACCCAGGATGTATCTTGCTTGTGAGAGGAGTGGCCAATATAGAGCAACAAAGAAGTTAAAACATGATGGCAACAATACATCAAGAATAACCGGTACGAAGAAGTGTGGTTGTCCTTTTGATATGAGGGCTCACAGGTTTACCACATATGATGAATGGACATTGATTGTAGTATGCGGATTGCATAATCATCCACCTGCGGAGCACCTCGAGGGACATTCATATGCGGGAAGGCTATCAAAGGATGATAAAGCATTGTTAATGGATATGTCAACGAGCATGGTTCGGCCAAAAGAAATCCTAGTAACCTTGAAACAGCGAGATGCCCTCAATGTAAGCACACTTAAAACCATTTACAATGTACGTCATCGAAACAGGGTGGTGCAGAGAGCTGAAAGATCACAGATGCAACACTTATTGGATGAATTGGCCAAGTATAATTACATTGAGCGCCATCGGTCTGAAGAGTCCACGATGACTGTGACAGACTTGTTTTGGGCACATCCTACCAGTTTGGACTTATTTCGGTCTTTCCCACGTATATTAATTATGGATTGCACATAAAAAACCAACAGATATCGGATTCCTCTTCTTGAAATTGTGGGAGTGACATCAACTGAAATGACATTCTCTATAGCTTTTGCTTACTTATAGTATGAGAGGGTCGATAACTATGCGTGGGTGTTAGCCACATTACGTGATGTCATGGATGGGTTTGTTGTGCCAACAGTTATTGTTACTGACAGAGAGCTAGCCTTGATGAATGCCATACAGAAGATATTCCCGAGTGCCAGACATTTATTATGTCGTTGTCATATTAGTAAGAATGTGTTGACCAAATGCAAGAAAATGTTTGAGACACAGCAAAAATGGGAGAAGTTCAACCATGAGTGGAACTCTGTAGTGTATTCATCTTCTGAAATTCAATACGAGGAGTGTCTTAAATCATTACTTAAGGAATTCAGTAGTTATCCTGATGCAGTCAAATATGTCATGGATACTTGGTTGGTTCCTTACAAGGACAAATTTGTGGCGGCATGGACAGACACGTGTATGCATTGTGGCAATGTTACAAAGAACCGGTAATATTACTTTTGTTCAATATGTTATTAATAGCTGCCATGTACTTGATTTTAACTTGACTTACATTGAATTGAACAGGGCTGAGAGTGCACATGCAAAACTTAAAAGACAATTGGGTTCATGTCAAGTCTCATTTCAGGCATCATTTGAGAAAATACACAGTCTGCTTGAGTTGCAACACACTGATATCAAGGCTTCATTTGAGAAAAGTCTAACTGTTGTGCAACATCAATTTAAACCTTCTCAATTCAGGGAGCTACGGGGGAATGTGTCTATCTCTGCATTGGAGTATTTGCTTGTCGAGAGTAAGAGAGCCAATTCCATTGGTATTGATGTTGAAGCTTGTGGATGCGTCCTTCGCCACACTCATGGTTTACCTTGCACCCATGAGATTGCTGACTACATCAGACAAGATCGTCCTATACCACTTGCTACCATACACTCACAGTGGAGGCAACTTCATATCTCCATATGCAAGAAAGAAGAGGAAACAGAGGTGACTTGTCATGCAAAAGTAGAGTTGTTTGTCAACAAGTTTAATGAAAGTGATAGAACCATGCGATTGGAGCTTTTGAAGAAGTTGAAAGAGATTGTATATCCGGAAAGCACTTTTCTTGTTGAGTCGGAGGTGAAGCCCAAAACACGTCCTCGGGATCATAAGAAGATCAATGTTTCTACTCGTCGTGACCCGTGTGCATTTGAGTTAGTGCAATCTGGACATGATTCCTTCTCACCTAGGGACACTCAAATCACTACATTAGCTTCTACTCTGCAAACCAAGAAGAAGCGACCTATTAAGGAAAAGGAGAAGGTGAATGTGAAGGGGAAGGTGTACATTACTAGAACAGTGATACCTGGTGCATATGTTGATGCTTTCCCTTCTGGGTTGAAACCATTTCGCAAACACTCAAGCCTGACTAAATTCCCACCAGTAGTAGAAACCTCGTCATGTGCTGCACGTTCAGTAATTCCCAAGCCAGAAACCAATAGTGTAGCTCCATGAAGATCCGTCACATCTGGTATGCTATGCTGATTGGTCTGCTACAATGGGAAGGCTAAGAATAGTGCGTGATCTTTTGGGTGAGCTGCACATACACAAAGAGGAATACATTACACTTTATGGGTCTTATGAAAGGTTTGAAGAATTGACAAGCATATTGTCATACTTTGAAGATAGTCCTGGATACTCACATTGGATGACTATGCCAGACATGGGGCATCTTGTTGCATCATGCTACAATATTGTGTTATACCACTTGTCTTTATAGCAATGTCTCACCTTTTTACCTTTTAGAACCGTGCCAGTACCTCAACTTGATAGACGTGAGATTGCCATTGGGTTTGTCAATGGAAATCATTTTGTGCAGGTATAACAGAAACTTATCAATTGCGTTTATGCATGTACAAGAAGTTATGAGGTATGACCACTAAGTCAATTGATATTTGGTGCAGGTTTTGTTGCAGCCAGGCCATCCAGTTCCTCCTATTGCCACTAATTGGAGAAAATACCGTCACCCTTGCGCTGTGGACTGGGATGATGCATATGTGCGTCGCATTCAACATTTCAAGGACATTATTCATGATAATGTAGCTACTCGAGAGACTTTTGATGTTGTTGATGTCGCATGACACATGTATGCATTTGACAATGTTACAATTATGGAAGAAATTAATGGATGTGTTTTTTATGTTGATGTGTTATGTTTTGCAATGTGGATTGAATGTTATCGACCATTGTTACCATTCCATTGTAATAAGAAAATATCATTTACAAAATCAACGACCATTGTTACCATTACATTCTAATAATAAAATATCATTACAATGTCATTACAATACCATTGTTGCCATTCCATTCTAATAAAAAAATATTAACCACTGTTACCATTACAACAATGTCATCTTACAAAAAACACCAAACAATATTCATCAACTAACAAAATAACATGTAACAACATAACATGTCACGAATCAGCTGTATGCCTACGCCTAGGCCTACGACTGTATGTCAATGTCGAAGATGGAAAGCGACCTCCAGCAGAACTAGGTCTAGCAGAACTAGGTCCAGCTTCGTCAATGTGCTGACCTTCAAGAACATGTGTCATACTCTCGATAGCCTGGTAAAGTCGATAAGGATGGCGAATCCCCTCCTGATAACCAGCGTCAATAATAGGATGTGAAATCTGCAGTGCATGTGCAATACGCTGCATTTGAAAATAATATCACATTTTAGGGAACATATCAGGAAAAAAAAAAAGTAAGTTACATATACATCAGAGAGGATAATAGATTACATCCGCATGTTCGCTAAAATCCTGATGGTCACGGACACTCGGTTCATCAGTATGCTCGACATATAGGTGCGTGATATTCTTATACCAATCCATGTAACCCGGTACACATTGCCAAGGCTGACGAACTGGAAGAGTGATTATGACACTTTAGGGGCCCTCGTTCCTACAACACAAATGATATCTCATTACAAACTACCATACAACACAAAAAAAAAAAAAATCATATACAAATGAATTTCAGTTTTACTGAGGAATGTTTACCTCCCCGTGCCAAATAACTACAGCCCCATGACTATTGAAACTTCGCAGTATTGACGGATCATTTGGTCCACCTGGAAAAGCATGAGTAAGGTACTCTTCCTGGACAGGAGGAGAATCAGGTAAAGAGGTATCCTCCACAGCAATGTCAGGCATATCATAACCTTCAACTCGTCTTTGGCTACGGCCCCCACTTTGACTGGCACTGGGAATATCATATTCTACCGAAACTGGATCACGACCTCGACCACGACCTTGACCTCGTCCTCGCCCACGCCCTCGTCCCCGTTGATGGTCTACATCCAATTCACGACGTCGTCTATTTGAAGCAGTAGGTGGGACACATTATTGATATTCGGAATCCATATTATCTGCAAAAAATACTAAGTGTGTGTAATGAGTGTGTGTGTAAACAAACATAGTGTGTGTAAAATTAATGAGAGTGTTTTAAATTATAAGTGTGTGTGTAATGAGTGTGTGTGCAAAATTAATGAGTGTGTGTGTGTAAATAATAAGTGTTTTAAATTATAATGAGAGTGTGTGTAAAATTAATGAGAGTGTGTAGTGAGTGTTATAATTAAGTGTTATAATTAAGTGTTTTAATTAAGTGTTAGACGGAAAAAAAAAAAAAAATTTGTGTTCGGAAGTTGTCCGAAAATACCAGTTCTGTTCGGAAGTTGTTGTCCGAAATTATAGCTAATACTCGGATGTTGAAAATCGAAAAAAAAAATTGTTTTCGGCCCTTGAAAGCCGAACCAAGTAAATATTTTTGGAACTATAGTGCCCAATAGAAGCAGAAATTTCGGAACTCTAATGCCGAACAAAAACAAAAATTTTGAATAACCAGTTCCGAATGAAACACGGCAATCACAGTGGACTGAAAATTTCGAAAATGGTAAAAATTAACCCTACATTACAAATAAAATAGGAATGAGAAGATTCTAATCTGTGTAAACTAACCTAAAATGTGAAAATTTCAATGCTCTTCAATGCCCTTCAATGCCAATACTTCAATGACACAAATGGATGAATGAAGCTTTTGGGGAGGAACGGTGGAGAGTGTGAGAGATGAGTGTGTGTGTGAGAGGGGTTCTCAGATGGGTGTGTGTGTGAGAGGGGTCTGTCACGGGTGTGTGTGTGTGAGAGGGGTGTGTGTGTATGATTTACATTTGGGGGTATACGTGGAATGATAGGTGTGTGTAGTGAGTCAAATATATTAGGATTTATTTTTTTAGTGTGTGTATTAAGAAGGATTTGTATAGAAAGAAAAGGGTGTGTGTATATAGAAGCTCCCAGCAGTATCGTAACTCCGGTGGGCAGCCAGCACGTCCTTACTATTCTGTTAAGTTTCAACCTTTTAAAATTCCAACAACACACCATTCAATTTAATTGATGAATCAATCAATGGGATTGTTTGATATTGTTTGTAATTTATTATTATTTTGAAAGTTTATTGTTTGGTACAATTTGTATTTATAATAAATAATGTAAATAAGTTTTTTTTTTTTCTTTTTCTTTTAAATCTTTGACGACATGGAAGAAGGCTGTCACGTAAAATAAAATTAAAAAAAAATTGAAAAAAACCACTTTTATTGATGTATATAACATTAAGATGCTGTTAAAAAATATATATTAGAGAGAAATAGAAATTGTTATTTTGAAGAATTTTTTTATTTTTTATTTGTACTTTTATATTGTTACACTCACACATTATTGAGGTGTCTTAAAAAAGTGTACTTTTTGTCTTTTTACGAAAAGATGTGCAAAAAAGTAGAGAGGTGATGTGATGAAAAAAAGATAAAAAGATAAAAAGATGAATTATATAGTTTATGCCAAACCAACCCTAATTATTGCCGGTTGCAATCACCTTTGCTCAACAAGTCACCAGAAACTCATCGTTGCTAACATTAAAGGCCGGTGATGACCGATAATTGTAACAGATTAGTGGAGTAATATAGTATTTCAAATTATTGTTGTTTCTTTAGTTTAAAAAGAATAGAGTTTCAGGCAGTTTCTTCATAAGTTTTAAAATTATATTTATGATTCGAGTGTTCAAAAGAAAAAAGAAAAAAAATGTACTCATTTTTCATGGTATGAATATATAAATTAGTGATTCACAATACATCTCTAAGTGTAAATTTATATTTCTTGATGGTTTTAGGTGAGTTAATAAATAAACAAGACGGGTTGAATTTGAAGACAGTTTACTGGAATTTGCAATTAACAATTATGTTTAGTTTTAATTTTTTGTATTTAATTTTTTGAAAATTGAGTTTTTTTATTTTTATTTTTATTTTTAGTGAATATTTTTAAAATTTTAAATAATTTATTTATTTTTTTATATGCACCTTACTAAAATGTATCTAAAAACTAAAATATTTTTTAAAAATAATAAATATACAAGAATACGAAAATGTACTGAATTTTTATATTTTTGATATTTAGTGAATTTTTAAAGATTTTTTTTTCACAAATATTATGCTTTTTAAATATATTTATATTTGGTGTATCTAAAAATTAAAAAAATTATTTAAAATATTAAAAAAAATTCGGTAAAAACAAGAAAAAAACATGATAAACAAAAATTTTAATTTTTTAACAAATGAATCATGAAAAGTGAAACTAAACAATCACCTCCTTTAAAACTTAAAAAAAAAAAAGAGAAAAATTAATAACTTTTTCTCCTGAGTTGTGTACTTTTAATAATAGAATAGATTCGTGATGGAGAATGGGATGGTGTTGTCACAGCATCCCATTGTGACGGTTCGATTGAGGTTTGTATCAATTTTATTTTGATAATTTGAATCATTCATATTATAAGATTTTTCGAGTACAATATAAGTATATAAATTAAGGTTAATCGGACATGTGTAGTCCATTGGACCATAATTGTTTGAAAAAAATTATTAAAATTATGCTAATCATTTATTTATTTTTTTAAACATAAATGTTGTCTTGTTACAGACTACATATGTCTAATTGACTTTATTTTATTTTATTTTAATTTATTTTAGATGATCTACTCGATAAACCCTATAATATAAATTATTCACATTATCAAAATAGATTTAAAAAATGCCCCGACGAACTAACAACACGGTATTGTGCTCCGGGGTAAAGGTGAGCATGGTCTGAATTGGGGTAAAACTATGACCAATCCGTTGTCTACAATTCTTAAAATATTAGAACCAATCAAATCCGTTTAAAACGTGAACCAATCAGAACCAATTCGTTTAAACACAGATTGGATCGGTTTAGGATCACAGATTCACATAATTAAATAACAAATATATATATATATATATATAGAGAACATTTAAAGCAAACAAAAGCAAACAGCATCATGTGTGAACTGATCAACAAAAACAACAACATATAAAATAACAAAAACGCATTAAAACAATGTCACCAATTTTCCAAAATGTCATCTTATGTAATGTAACGCTCCGAAATAATTATAATAATTCATCCACAATATCAATAAACGACAATAATGATAAAGTAGTTATCTTCCATTAACTCCAATTGAGTTTACAAAAGAGAAACATATGCAGTATACATTCATAATGCTTGGCCCTGCATCTATAGCGCATATGTTGCCAGCTAAAGAAAAGAATGGAAGGTAAACAGATAAGAATGCCCTAAAGGCTTACATCTTTCCAAGACGATGCTTGGTTATAACAAAAGTGGACTTAAGTCCAATACAGTTAAAGCGCTTGGCTTATACAAAATAAGAACAGTAAATACACAAAAGAAGCTCTCGCTCCAAGTCCTCCCAAGCTATTGTCATGGTAGAGACATATCATCAGCACCTAAAATGTTTTTCCCACATAGGGCGAGCCAAAGCCCAGTAGAAATAATCCAGTAGAGTGTATGAATTTTAATAAGGCTAGGAGGTGGATGCATATGCAATGCACGTGCTGAAAACATTTTATATCTCTTTCAAAATCATGCAATGCTTCATAAAACATTCTTCTTTCAATGGACACACAGGGCCGTGAATCATATCTCAGGGAATCTCAAACCAATACAACCTTTTACGAAAATGCCGTTCATGGGAAATCGTAAACCGGCACCAATGTAAATGTAGGCTATACAAGCATTATTATTGCTATTTTACGGATATTTCGTCTACGGGATTGGCACCCATGTATACATGTGGTTTTCGGGACTTTCACCTTAGACATACAAGCCAGCTTATTTGATGTACCAACAATCTCTTTTCCAGATTCACCCATTTTCTCAAAACAATATACATGTGCAATGTATAAATATAAAATAATAACCAATGCAAATAGATGAGAAAATTGGTTTCAATTTCCCTAGTTCTTATGCAATTTCTACAACACTCATAGCTATTATCTACCGATAGCCCAAAATAGATATTTCTAAACAGATAATTAATATTCCATAAAGACAAACTTTCCAAATTCAAGAGGTGAGTGATAATACATATCCAACTTTACCATCCTCATCAATAGCTATGACGCCCCGATTCTGCACTATAGGTTGCAGTCAAGGTAGAGTCACTAATGAGTCCTATGGTCAATAACCAAGTAAGATCCCAGATCGCCGGAGGAGTCAAAATAGCCTCCCTTCTAAGTCCAGCTTTCTTAGGCAGCGCACTACCCTTTTGACAGATCTTAAAAGGTATTGACACAAGGTCTCATAAGTAACGAAAGGGTTCATACATAGAATATATAACAATCAATATATATATAACTCAAAAGATAGTTCCGTTACATTACATTCCAGAAGAAAGCTTAAGTCTTTAAATGAGTCTTTACAAAACATCCAAAAAGAAACTTCTAATTTTTTTTTCTAGGATAACCAAAAGTCTTCAAAAGTTTCGG